TTTAACTCCTGAACCAAAAAAGTAAAATCTTTTCTTCTTCTTAAAATCTTAGAAGATATTTCTTTTAAAAGTATAATGTCTTGTGCAGCAATTTGAAATCTCTGCTGATAAAAGAGCTGTACTCTTGTGGTGAAGTAAACAATCACATCTCTAGGTATGTTTCTCTGACGTGCAACCCAGGAATTGATTCTATAATTTTTTTCTATTTCTCCACAGATCACCTCAGGGTTGCAATTCAATACCAGGGCCAAAGCTGTAACAACTTTCTCCTTAAGTTTCTCTTGTAAGTCGTCCTTAAGGCCCCTGATTCTCAGGGCAAATTCCATTTCTTTAAATTGTGTCATCACCATATCATTTTGTAAATTCTCCACACCTTCTACTTTCTCAAGTCTGTCCTCTGTTCCTTCCATTTTCTCCACTAGATCATCCACCCTTCCCTCTACATGATCAATATGAATTGCTAGTCCTTCAAAAATATGTGATATATTTTCACAAAGTTCCTTATTTTTCTTATCCAAAAGTTCTTCTGTTTGTTTCACAGTTTGCAATGAGGACTTAGCTAAAGCCTCTTGCAAATCTTTAAGTGTAATGGAGGGAGGTGGTGATGGTGGGGGAGATCTAGGTTTTTGTTGTTGAATTTGCACAGCAGGAGAGGAAATAGCTGTTTTAGGCAATGCAGGAACTCCAGTACGTTTTGTAGCCATTCTGCCAAACTGTTTTTAAAACTCACAAAAGCAAAAATTAACTTAAAAAAGCTTGACTTAAGAAGAGTTCTTTAAAATCCTTTAAAATGCATCATTCCACCACCGGTAAGAAAGTGAAAGTTTTCCTTTTGTTACAAAGAAACAACGCTTCCGCGGCCATTTTCTTCTCACTTTCACTTATAACAAATAGCAAAAATCCCAATAAGATCTTTGAGTTAAAGTCACCATTTAACTAAAACAAGAAAGAAAAAATCCCCTGTCAGATTCCGTCTGTTCAAAAGTTACTCACAAGCAGATACAAAGTAGCAGTGGTGGCAGCGATGTCTAGCCTCGCTCCAAAGAGCGAAGACACTCCGAGCTGCGGAGAAGAGGTCCAGACTCCGGGTGAGTTCTCAGATAGGGAACTCAACCCCTATCTGAACCAAACTCACTCTCTCCCCTTCGCCTGGGGAGGGAGTTCCAAGCCTCAAAACAGCTGATCCGCGCTGTTTTGACAGCTCTGACGCAGTCCCGGGTAGGAGGCTGAGAAGAAAGCCTCCATCGGCGAAGCCTCGCCACCGGAAACCCCGATTCTGGACCATGATTGATGACGTCCAGAGTAGAATGTAAACTGTTTTTTCCCTAAATTCCTCTCTCTCCAAGAATCCTGAATATTGAGCTCATCTACCATTTTTAGGAATGTATCAGGTATTGTTCCTCTGGTTCTTTTTCTACTCTTTCCACATTTATAATCTAGGTTTCTATCCACAATTGCGTTATAATCTCCCATTATACAAATGTTATCATATTCCAATTGATTAATAATGTTGTGGAGTTTTTTATAGAATTGTTTTTGCTCCTCATTCGGGGCATAAATTCCCACCAAGAGAATTTTAATTTTATTCAAAATTGCTTCCACCATTAAAATTCTACCCTCTTCGTTCTTATAAATTTGCTTTGCCGAAATTTCCTGTTTAATATATGCTACCACTTCTCTTTTCTTGTATTGCGAAAGAGCTGCAAATATGTTTCCAATTTAGGGCAATTTAATAAATATTGATGTTTTTTATATGAACTTCTTGTAGCATAATTATATCTAAGTTCATCTTGTTAAGCTTATTTAAGAACTTTTTCCTTTTTGTTGGAGAGTTGAGGCCATTAACATTGATGGATATGGATTCAACACCTTTTTTCTCCTTATCTATGTTTAGATCTGGTTACTCTTGCCAGTATAGACTCTTGAGTTTGTAAATCCCTTCCTCTTTCCACTAACTGTCTTGTCGCTCTAGCCTCTTTAATTTCTTTAAGTCTATTCTCCTCATAGTTCCCTTCATTTTTCCCATTATCAATATCCTCTCTGAACTCGACTCGTTTACCTTTAGATTCGGTGACTTGAGCTAGAGTCTCTCCTTCCTCTCTTACCTCTCTTTCAACTAGATCTTCCTCGCTACCAAATTTTTTCCTATAGAATTCCTCTGCTTTATTTATTGAGTCTAAGCGGAACTTTTTCTCTTGCCATGTAACCAGAATCCCTTCCGGGGTCAACCATCTAAAGTTAATATTTTTCTTCGTCAGTTTGAAAGTTATTTGTTGGTAGGGCCTTCTCAAGTCCCTCACTCTTTTGGGTACTTGTTTAAGTACAATCAGCTGTTTACCTCGGTATTCCAAGGTCTCTAAACCTGAAGACAATTTCATCTCTAATTGATTTTTTAATAAATCTTACGTGCACTTCTCTAGGAAGATTGTGCCGCTTTGCATAGTTCGTGTGGATTCTGTAGGTCTCATCTATCTCACTGGCCATCTCTCTGCTGGACCCCAGAGCCCCCGCTAGTATGTCTGACATTAATGCTGGCAGATCTTCACCTTTCATCTCACCTACATTTTGGAACCGTAAATAATGAGCTGCCTTTTCAAGTTCCAGGGAAATAACTGTAGCTTCTAGTTCTTTATTAGCCTGAAGTAATCTTTCATTCATTTCCTCTACTCTCTGCTCCTCTTTGTCCATCCTTTCCTCCATTTCTGATAGTTTTTGTTCATTTTTCATGATCTGCTGGTGAAAGGATTCATGTATAAAAATCTTTCATGGCTTTTTTCTAGTTGTCTGTCCACTAATCCCAAGAAAGCCAATCTTGTTTCAATTGATTTTTAGTCTTTGAAATCTTTTGCACCATTTCTGGCTTATTTTAAGTCCACCAAGCATGATAAAATGACTCTTGTGCACATTTTCAACATAAGTATGAGCTACCGTTATACATTTTAGATAATTTTTCTGAAGTCATATACCAATCCTTTCAACTATGTGTTTTCCCACTTTTCTAATAATATGTTATGCCCCAAATTCTTAGCCAATTTTATCATAGATGTTTTCATATTTTTATTTATTTCAAATTTCAACAAGATGATAGGTTAACCATGTGTCGTTACCTGCTTTTTCTTGATATTATTGTGCTTGTGCTAAGAACCATAAGGCAAACCACCTGTGAAGTGGTTTCATGTGGCCTGCGAAGCCATCCTAGAAACAGTGAGGGAACGGCCCCCACTGCCCTGGCCCTGGCCTAGGCCGGCCGGGAGCCAATGTACATTTTGTGGTGGCCATCTATGCTGAAACGTATTCAGTCTTAGCTCCACAAGGCCGTCTGGAACCAGCGACGAACCAGCCCCTGCCACGTCAGCCCTGCCCCCTGGGTGCATGCTGGGGAGGAAATGCACCATCCTTGGAAGTGGCCAGCAAATAGCCCTCACCTCCTTCGCATAACCGGCTTGATGGGCTCCTGGGGAGGGGTTTCTGCAGGCAGCAGGGCACTCTCCTCATAGCGCCAAGAGCTGAGCTGGATGGCACGAATCAGATGAGAAGTGCAATGCTACCTAGCCCCCAGCCTGCCCAGTTTCAGCAGGGAGCAAGGTGCAAAGCTGGCGAGCTTCACACCTCCCGGCTCAACCTCTTGGCGCTGTGAGGAAAGCGCCCCGCTGCCTGCCGAGACCGGGCAGACTGGGGGCTGGGCGGCGTCGCGTTTCTTTTCATATTTGCGCCGCCTGGCTCAGCCTCCCGGCACTGTGAGGAGAGTGCCTCACGGCCAACCGGGCAGGCTGGGGGCTGGGCGGCATTGCGCAGGTAACATTGACTCTCACACTGCTCATGGCATCCCCTCCCCCAGAGCCCAACAAGCCAGATATGCGAAGTAGGTGAGGGCCATGTGCTGGCCACTTCCAGGCGATGGTGCATTTCTTCATTCCTCACGAAGGGTGACACCTCCCCAGCTGTGTTTCTTGCCTGTTTTTTTCCCTCCCTCATCTCAAATATTTTCCCACCACTCTACTTAGAAAGGAAGGAAGGAAAGAAGGAGAGGGAGGGTCTGAGGGAAGTCCTGCCTTAGTCCTGCCCTGCTGCTCTTTCACTATCCCCTTGCCCCCTCCTCCTGGCCTATCCTGGGGTCTCCCATCTTATTGCTAAGGAAGCTTTGGATACAAAGCCGGGTCTTTTCCCATGGAGAGGGAATGGGCCTCTCTCTGACTTTGCCCTCGTACCCATCATTAACTACTGGCTAAGGAGAGCAAGCACAGCAGCAGCAGCCTTGAGTAGGAAGTAAGTGCAGCTGGGTACCCCTTTGGGGAAGTGGGGCTGGGCTTGGTGCCGCAGGTACTTGAGGGCCAGGCTGGCTGTTTGACCTCTGCTGCCCAGGGCTCCGGGCAGCCTGCGCCACCATCCAGCCCCCCCCGCCATAGCCTGAGAGGAACAGTGAGGCTCCTCCAGTGGACCATGCCTTGGCACTTGCCGTGGTCCCACCCCCTTCTGCCAGAGATCCTCAAGTCTGTTCCACTCCTGCCCAGGCCCCCACAGGCACCCTTGATGCGAATGACGTAGAGCTGGGCACGCCCACCCAGTAGGCCACACCCACCCTGGCCACACACCCCTGAGGGCAACCGCAATGCTGATGCGACCCTCAATGAAATTGAGTTTGACACCCCTGCCATAAGGCATTTTTTTTGGCACAGTCTGGGTTAGGGTTAATTTATTCCATATTAACATAGTGATTTTGAAATCTACATTGATCTTATCGTACTGTAGAAAATCATGCTATCCAAATCTTAGATTATGCTCTTGTAATTCTAATATCTAACGTAGATTTTTTTTCTACAAAATGCAAGGGAAATAAATTGTCATTACTGATTTTTATTCTGACCTCTTATTTAGCAGCAACAGAAACTTTGATGAAAGCAGTCTACACATTTTATCAGCAAAGGAATCTTCCTTTTCCTGTACGTACATTACTTTTGAATTTTTTTGCCAGAGTTTATCAAAAGGAAGAAATGAACCTTCATATAAACAGGTAATAATATATATTCTTTTCAACATTGTGTCATATCATATAAAAGAGAAAATCATTTTTGTTTAATGTCACTTTGTAAATGTTTTGTTCTTTAAAAGGTTAACGTGGGAGTATGCAGTGATATACCCACAAAATACTTTTCAATTCCACTCTTCAAATTAATATAATGCCTCTGAAATTCATCCATGAAAATGTTGTGAATTAAGAGCCTATTTTCTGGGCCTCAAAAAACCTTCAGAGTTTGTTTAATGTGCATGTGCTTGTATTATAACTATGAAGTTACCTGTTATTGTTTTTTTCTTATGCACTGCAGAAGCCAAGGTAAAGTATTAACTTGTTGGCTGGCTGGTCTGCCTCAGCAGCTTGTTCTTCTTGGCTTAAGAAATCCTGAACTTTCAGAGCAATTGATTGGTATTATTTATTCTGCTGCATCTCGGGCGAACAAAGAAATTCTACAGAGTTTACAAGCTGCTGCTCCCCTGATATATGGTAATTATTATTTTCACATTTGAGAACTAGACTCTAATTACATCAAACTGCATCAAGAAAAATATTTTGAAAATTAAAACAAGTTTGAAAGGATTTATTCTGTAATAAGGATTGAGTTCAACTTACTTTTTCCAGTTGGAGCTGTTTGAAAGTATAACAATAGACTCATTCAGGATTTTTTTATGATAAAAGTTGTAATCTGGCTACATTCATGTAAGACTAATTTAACACTGTATTAAGAATTTTTTGATAACTTACAATAATTGACTGCCTCCATTGTTATCCTAGCCCAGTGGTTCTCAACCTTCCTAATGCCGTGACCCTTTAATACAGTTCCTCATGTGGTGACCCCCAACCCCCGATCCAGCTGGCCAGGGAGGGGGGGCAGGAAGGCCGGTCCGCCGGCTCTGCCCAGCCTGGTTGGAGAAGCGCCATTCCTCTCCCTCTTTCTCTCTTTCTTTCCTCTCTCTTTTTCTCTCTTTTTCTCTTTCCTCTCTCTTTCTTTCCTCTCTTTCTCTTTCTCTTTCCTCTCTTCTCTCTCTTTCCTCTTTCTCTCTTTCTTCCCTCTTTCTCTTTCTCTCTTTCCTCTCTCTTTTCCTGTTTCTCTCTTTCCTCTCTTTCTCTCCTCTCTTTCTCTTTCTCTTTCCTGTCTCTCTCTCCTCTCTCTTTCTCTTTCTCTTTCCTCTCTCCTCTCTCTTTCCCTCTTTCCTCTCTCTTTCCCTCTTTCCTCTCTTTTTCTGTTTCCTCCCTTTCTCTTTCTCTCTTTCCCCTCTCTTTCTCTTTCTCTCTTTCCTCTCTCTTTTCCTGTTTCTCTCTCTTTCCTCTCTCTCTCTCTTAGAGCAGCATCGTCGGGGTCTCCGCCACCCCCGGCCCGGCCTCCGCCGCGTCCTCAGCTGAACGGGCGGGGAGAAGGAGCAGGACAGGAGGCAGTGGCTGCGGCGGCGGCAGCCACTGCTGCATCGTCGGGAGTCCCCGCTGCCCCTGGCCCGGCTGCCACCCCCACCGGGACTCCGCGCTGCCAGGCCTCGTCCTCCATCCATCGATGGAGCCACAGTGGGGGCTGGTGCCACGCGGCCCACCAGCCCCTCCGCCAGCCCGGCTGCTCCCCCCCAGGCACCCCTCTTCCTCCCGGTGCCCACCGGAGCTGTCTTGGGGGCAGCAGGAGGAAGAAGGAGAGGAGAAGGGCGAGAAAACCGCCGCTGCCGCCCCAGCCAGGACTCCGCACTGCCCGGCCTCGCCCTCTGCCCATCCGATAGAGCCGTGGTGGGGGATGGTGCCGTGTGGCCCCTGCCAGCCCCTCCGCCAGCCCAGCTGCTCCCCCCCAGGCACCCCTTTTGCCCCGGCGCCCGCCCGAGCTGCCTTGGCAGCAGAAGGAAGAAGGGGAGGAGGAAGAGGAGGGCAAGGAAGCTACCACCAGCGCTGGGCCCCAGGAGGCGGCTGTCCTCTCCTACCTTTGCTGAATCTCTTTCTTCCTTCCCGACAGCCTGGACTCCGGCGCGCCTTCCTGGCCAGCTGGTCCAATGGTTGGGCTGGCTGGGGATCACGGGCTGGTCTCCCTTGGGCCGTGGCTTGCGGGAGAGCTTGCCCGCTCAGCAGAGCCTCCAGTGCGCCGCTCCCAGCAAGGATCCCGGGGCTTCCCCGGGCGGCTCCACGGCCATGAGGCCCTGGCTGTGCTTCTCCCAGGGGGTGGGGCACCCAGGTGCAGGGCCAATCAGGAGCCCTGCAAGCGGTAAGTCCGCCTGAGAGAGAGAGAGAGAGAGAGAGAGAAGGGAAGCGAAAGTGCCTCTCTGTCTCTCTCTCTCTGCAAATGGCGGAGGAGGCCATGCAGAGACGGATGCAGAGCGGTGTCTCGGTTCCTAAGACCATCGGAAATATGTGTTTTCCGATGGTCTTAGGCGACCCTGTGACAGGGTTGTTCGACCCCCCAACGGGTCGTGACCCACAGGTTGAGAACCGCTGTCCTAGCCAGAAACTCCACTATCTTTGTAGAGGCTTGCCTCTTGCGTTTCTGTTTCTTCTCTTTTAACTTTTAAAATATTAAAAAGCACAATGGATTAAATAGGAATGGAGCAACTGCATATGCCAGGTTAAATTTATTATGCCCATCAGGGTAGCAGAAAAAGAAGCTGCAGAGAGGAGAACTGATTGCTGTCCTTTAACAGCTTGTGTCAATATCTGGTAAACCAAAGGTTGCTACAGAGGTACAATTAGACTATTGTTATAACAAGGTAATAAAAAGCTCTGATTTGCCCAGTATTGACATAAACAAGTCTATAGTTATCTGGGTACCTTTTTTTTTTACCTGTTTTGAAGATAGGGAAAATATTTCCCTTTCTCCAGTCTTTTGACACTATATTTATTCTCAATGTTTTTTCAAAGATCACAGAATGAAGCTCTGAGATGACCTCTATAACAGAGGTCTCCAATCTTTCCACGCTCTGGGCCCAGAGGGAAGGAAAGCAGCTTCCAAATAGGTGTGCAGCATGCACACAAATAGGGTCCCGCGCACTGGCATGGCACTAGCAGCCCCATTCATGCATGTGGCATGTACAAACAGGCCGCACCCACCCACCCAGTGCTAGCACTCCTGTTCACGTGCATGCACGAACAGGGCTGTGGGGCGCTAGCACGAGTGGGGGTAATGCGCGCCCATGCTTGCGCGCACCAGCCAGCCATTTCGACGGCCCACTGGCCAAGATCCCACAGCCTTGGCCCAGGCTGCGGCCCATAGGTTGGGGACCCCTGCTCTATAAGACTCTTGGCTTTAATTGATTTGATCAACTACTCCCTAGTTCTTTTTTTAATAGAATTTTATTGAGTTTTATAGGGTTGGGAATAGAATAGGGTTGGGATAAGGATTAAGGTTTAGGATAGGGTTGGAATCAGGATTGGTGTTGGGGGTGGGTTGGGGTCGACATGGGGATTATCCCCCAATAGCATTTTCAATCTTTAGCAAACAGACTATTGTCTGGGTACATATGTTCAGTTAACAATAGTTGATATTGTAATAAGTAACTGTAATAAGGGTAATAAACGATAATCATAAACAGTATCAATTAATGCATATCATTCTTGTTAATATATATTCAAAATAACATCACATTCATTTCTCACTAGTTCGTTTTCCTAACCATTAGTAAAAATTATCCCATGTTCTAAAGTAAACAGAATCTTCTTTCTCTTTAATCTCTAAGGTCAATCTATCCATTTCTGCACATTCTAAGATTTATTTTTTTTAATAAACAAATTTTATTGGTTTTTTTGATTCTTAAGACAAAGTGCTCAAGACACATTGTGGTGCTAGGGTAGTCAAACATCCAAAAATAAAACATATATACATAATTCAATCAATACATCAAGTATTCCCTCTCTTTTCCCCTTAAATAGCATAATTTATTTAAAATAATCCAATTCTAGCTTAAATTTATTCAACCTGGACCTGTTTTTAAAGCTTTATAAATTTACAATACCGTAATCAAATTAACTTTAAATAAAAACATCAATTCAGGTATCCCTTCCAAATATGTTCTAGTTCCTTAATTTTATTATAAATCTTATTTATTTCTTCTTCCACTAATATCCCTTATTTAAAATAAAATATTAATCTATCCTATACATATCTAATCCATCAATCAATCAATCTCTTTAAGCTGACAGAGTAAAATCAAACCTTAAATCATTTCAATCCATTAGACAGAATTCAAATTTCATCCAATTATCATAACTAATAACATCCATGTTATCAAACAGACAAATCATCTTATTAGATTAACTCAACATTACATAATAATTTTCATACAAATAAACCTATCGTTCTAAAAGACACATTCTTGATCAATTTAATATGTATATTCCAGTGGCCTTCCGGGTGCGCTTTAAGGTGTTAGTTACCACCTTTAAAGCGCTCCATGGCACAGGACCTGGCTATCTCCGAGACCGCCTTCTGCCACAGATTCCCTCCCATAGACCGGTACGCTCCCACAGAGTGGGTCTCCTCAGGGTGCCGTCGGCCAAGCAATGTCGGCTGGCGACCCCCAGGGGGAGGGCCTTCTNGGGAGGATTTTAAATTGGGTTTATTTTAAATCGGGTTTATTTTAAGAAAAAATTTTAAGCAGCACAACTCTAAACAATTGGTTTTAATTTGGTTTTATTTGGTGGGGATTGTAAATACGTTTCTGTTTTTAAATATGTTGTGAGCCGCCCTGAGTCCCGTTGGGAGAAGGGCGGGATATAAATCAAATAAATAAATAAAAAAATAAATAAATAAAAATTAATCACCCATTTTTCCCTTACTTCTAACTCATAGTCCTTAAATCAGACCAGAATTCTAGATTGCCTTTAATCCATTACATAAAAATATCTCCTTTTTAAGCTAAAATATTGATCTATCCTATACATATCTAATCCATCAATCAATCAATCTCTTTAAGATGACAAGATAATATCAAACCTTAGATCATTTCAATCCATTGGGCATCAAACAAACAAATCATTTTATTAGATTAACATTCAATTAGTTATTAATTCAATCCAGATCTAAAACATCTCTTCAATTTTTTTCCTTCCATTACGTAATAATTTTCATATAGATAAACCTATCAATCCAAAAAATACATTCTTAGTCAATTTAATATATATCTTCCATTAGTCGCCCATTTTTCTCTTACTTCTAGCTCATAATCTTATTTTGCCTTATAAGCAGTTCACTTATGGCTTTGAGGATCAGAAAAAGCAAAGACCGAGATTTGAACTGTTAAAGCAACGAGGCTTTATGGTTAAGAGAAACAGAGGGCCAATGCAGAGGCCAAGATGGTGTTCACTGATTCAAAGGATATTACAAGCATCAAAGAGAGACTTATCAGCTGGAAGGGAAGCTCTATTATGGAAACCTGCCTGGCAGAAGAAGAAGGCCAGAATAAGACTGAAAAGAAGTGAAATTTAAAATTTTATGTAATGGATTAAAGGCAATCTAGAATTATGGATTGATTTAAGGACTAAGA